CGCACCCTTTACCTCACAAGGAGGAGGGGTGCCCCCTGCCACCTAGGGCAGGTACCCACTTTATCTACTTGCATTTATGATGCTTTCGAACCGCTGGGTGGATGGGAGCCAGTTAATTTTAAGAATGAAAAAGTTAATGTTATACTTGACTCAGTTTGTAAAGGGATCAGCGGGATTAAGACTTGATGTATGTTTAAGCTGATTAGAAGATCTCCTCTCTTGGATTTTTAGTTAGTAGTGGCTATCTTTCTTTTATCCTATAAATGTAGCCCCCCCTCCTGTTTTCTGTTGTAGTTTGTAGTATTATAAAAAAATAAAAAATCCCCTTTGGGGGCTATAAAAAAAAGTTGGGGAGGGCTGCTGCCTTTTTTTTTTATTAACTCTCCTAAAAAGGAGAGAATTTATTGCTTTTAATATCAGAAAGGGGGAGGGTATATAGCTGGACTAAGAAAAGTTTGAGTGATGCTCTATTAGTATGTTAATCTTTTGTTAGTATTAAACAAATCTTCTTTTGGCTTCTTCTGTGAGTTGTCAATCGTCTTTCATCTTAACCTGTGAAAAACAAAAATAAATGTTAATGTATTAGTAGTGTCCCTTTGGTTTATTGTTAATAAAGTCTTTTCATGCGCTTTCCGAACCAATCTTCAAGTTCTGGGCTGCCTTCCTTTTATGTCTCTCAGGTTATAGGATGGACCTTTCCCTGCTCCTTCATCTTCCGGAGTCTTGTCCCCCTTCTCCGAGCCGGAGAAGGGGGACAAGACTCCGGGGGAGGGCTGCTGCCTTGATGCCCTACTGGTGGGTTTTGCTCAGTGGCCTCTGGTTGGTCAGTGCTGGGAACCAGGTGCACGACTAGACCTACCTTTGCTGTGATGTAGCTGATTGGCTCTTATGACGCTTTTGCCATCCAGCTGGGGCGGGTGTTATGCATCCTGGTTTGGGTTTTTTTTTTAAAATAGAAAACCAGCATTCGTACAGGAGGCTAGGCTAGAACGCTTCTCCCTGACATGTTAGTTTTTTACATGTAAAGGATTGTTTTTTTTGGGTTTTTTAAAATGCAGGGTGCATTCAACCTCTGCCCATCTGAAGTATTACAGCCCAATAGGAGCTGTGCCATGTGATTCTATTGAATGACCACTCTGGGTTGGGAAATTCCTGGGGTTTTGGGGGTGGAGCCTGGGGAGGATGGGTTTTCGGGAGGGGAGGGACCTCAGTGGAGTATAATGCCACAGAGTCCACCCTGCAAAGTAGCCATTTTCTCCAGGCTCCGACCTCAAGGTTGGCAACCCCCTATCCCTGAGCAGTATAGAGGCAAGAGCATTTGTTTTATTAACTATTAAAACCAGCAACTGTGGTGTTCCATAAAAGTCGTTCTTTTCCAGGTTAACAACAGATTCATAAGCCGCCTGGTCTTGGAGAGAAATATGTTATCCACACTTTTGCAGAGCTGGGCTGCAGGGTCTGGAAGTGTTCTGTAGCTGCTGCTAACATGTCAAAGATGGGGTGGTTGTTCCTGATTCTAACTTTCGGAGCTTTAATTTTGAACCCTTGAAGTTAAATACAAATAAAGTGAACTTTTTTTGTTGTTGTTCTTTTCTCATCAGGTCCTCAGAAGTGTGACAGCTTTGCTGAGAAGAGGCCTCTCCTTGCCATGTGCAAAAGCATCGGGTCTTCTGGGTAAGCTGAGAAAATGTAGATAAATGCACCATGTTAGCCTGTCGCAGCACACTTAACAGTATGTCTTGTGGCACCTTACCCTTTATTGTGGCAGATGCTTTCATAGGCCAGAGTCCGCCAAATCAGCTGCAGAACATGATTTCCCTCAACCTGGATAGCCCAGGCTAGCCCAGTCTTACCAGATCTCAGAGGCTAAGCTGGTTAGTACTTGGATGGGAGACTTCCCAGGAAGTCCAGGGTCGCTACACGAGGCAGGCATCTCTGAATGTCTCTTGCCCTGAAAACCCTACGGGTTCACCATAAGTTGGCTGCAATTTGACGTTTAAAAAAAAAGAAAAAAAAGTCAAATTGTAGGTGGATTCTGACAGGTAGGGTTGCCGCTCTCCCCGGACCACTGGTGGGGGATTAGGGTTGCCAGATCCAGGTTGGGAAATTCATGGAGATTTGGGGGTGGAGCCTGGGGAGGCCAGGGACCTCCGTGGGGTACAGTGCCAAAAACTCCACCTTTCAAAGCATCCATTTTCTCCAGGGGAAATGATCTCTGTAGTCTGGAGATGAGCTGTAATTCCAGGAAATTCCCAGGCCCCACCTGGAGGCTGGCATCCCTACAAGATCATCATAACACTAGGACTGATAAATCTGGAGATCCTTTGGTTCAGTACTAGTGCACCTATTTTGCATACAGAAGGGCCCAGGCTCAGTCCTTGGCATTTCAGGTAGCAGGCACTGGGAAAGACTTGTCTAATTGAGCTCTCCGAGGTCTTAGGCAGAGAAAATATTGAGCTCGATGAATCGGTGGGCTACTTTTGTATAAAGTCATTCCAGCTGTATTTCTGCAGCATTTAAATTAGCTTAACCTGGTTTAGTTAATCACGTCCTCGACATAAAGCTGTTTTGATCATTTTCACTGCTCTAGAAAAAAAATTAGAAGTTGTTGCTTTGAATAGATAAATAGGTACCGCTTTGGTGGGAAGGTAGCAGCGTTCCGTGTGCCTCGCCGTTTAGTCATGCCGGCCACATGACCACAGAAATTCCTTCGGACAGCGCTGCCTCTTTGGCTTGGAACCGAAGATGAGCACCGCCCCTGGAGTCAGATCCGACTGGCTTTCGAGCAAGGGAAACCTTTACCTTCCCAGATCCTAGTCTAACCCTTTAACCCACTATGCCTCACCAGCGTCTGAGGTTTCAACAGGCATTGGCTAGATTCTTTCAAGCCTTCCTCCACGAGCTAGACCCCCCCCCATTTAATGAAAACTGGGGATTCCCAGGAAACTGCATCTTCTAACTTTCTAAGCCTGTGAGCAACAAACTTTTCTGTAGTCTTGTGTAGTTCTTATTCCATTTTGGTGGTTCCTGCGCATAAGACTTGCTTAGTGGATTGCGCCTGCTGTGTGTAACATTGCGAGTGGAGGGGGAAAGTCTGTCTAACATGCACTGTGTTAAAACGTCATCCTTTCAGATATGTTTACAGCTCACAATGCTGTTTACATTGTTGATTCTGTGTTTGTCAGGATGTTTATAATCCCACAAGCGGCCTTTTTGGTCCACAGGGCTGCACGTACACTTTGGCCTGCAGACGCTGCTCCGTGGTCCTCTGTCAGGCTTTGCTCATTCGCTCACATCCAGCACGTCCACTTTTTGTGGTGGTAGTTTGAGGAGAGATGTGGGGCTCACAGGGCAAGGGTGTAAAGAACAGAGACGACGAATTCTGCATCTTGTTTCAGTTCTGCAGTTTTAATTACTCCTGCTTTGTCCCCATAGATGCTGTTCTTTTTGCACAGGGGAAGTGCAAGGTCTTCCCACAGAGACTGTCCTTTGGTTTCTGACGTTGCCCATGCCGAATTTCTGGGGTTGCAAGGCTCTTTCATAACATTAAGAGCTAGGAATACAACATTTTTTTAAAAAATATAGCCCTCTATCTGGGATTATCTCATTTTGGATTTCCTGCATTGGACTAGGCGGGTGTGTGTAAAGTGTTGTCAAATCGCAGCCAATTTATGGCGACCCCAACAAGGGGCTTTCGAGGCAAGTGAGAAGCAGAGGTGGTTGTCCATTGCCTTCCTCTGCAGAGTCTCCTTTCCAAGTACTGACCCTGCTGAGCTTCCAAGCTGTGACAAGGTCAGACTGTACCAAGCCGCCTTCCTTCCCAGGACTAAGTAGCCTTTATGATTCTTCGTTTGTTACAGATCTGCTAATTCGGTTGGATTGTGTCTATTAGCCGGCCATATCCCGACCTTGATAGTTTCTACTAGTATCTCAGCTCTCTTTGTCCTTCCTTGATTGATTGTAGCCCATTTGGCTTACTTGCACTACTTAGTTTACTAACCCAGGAAATTTCTGCATCAGGAGTCCCAGCTGCTTGTGCCATGCAGGTTTCAGCCTGCAGGCCTAATCTCTGTTAGTCTGGTTCTCTGTCTTTGCTGTAAATTGCCCTCTGTGGGAAGAGGCCATTACTCAGTGGTGGATCACGTTCCTTGCATTCAGAAGGTTACAGGTTGACCTCTGCAGACAGAAGGATCTTAGGCAGCAAAACTGGGAAAAATTCTCACCTGGCAGTGCTCCCTCTAAGCTGTGGAGTCTTGTGAGCAAAAATTCTACTTTGTGAGCGACTGGCATGAAAGTTATGAGCGAGCGATTTGGCTGCTGCATGAATCAGTTTGCTCTGGAACCATCCTTCCTAAGCTAAGACAAAAATGTGTGAGCCGCAGGCTAAAAAACTGTGAGCTAGCTCGCACTAACTCAGCTTAGAGGGAACAATGCCTAGGACCTGCTTTCAGGCAGAGTAGACAGTGCTGGGCTTATATGGACCAACAATTTGGCTCATTTTAAATGCAACTTCATTCAATTCATATGAAGCTCAGTAGTGGAGCATACCATTTTATAAAATAAAGAAACAAAAGCTCGTGCTTTGCACGTTCAGGATCCCAGGTTCAGTCTCTGGTTAAAGGATCTCAGGGGAGGGGCTTGAAATGGCCTCTGGCTGAGACCGTGGGACAGCTGGTGCCAATAAAAAGAGACGGTACTGGTTTATGTGGTCCAATGGTCTTGCAGCCTATAAATAAACTTTTTGCCTACTTCCCCTGGAAGGCTGAAATCGCGTTAATTGACTGTCCCATCTTGGGTTGCTTTGCCTAGAGTTCCTTTGGGTTCATGGGCTCTGTTCCTTGGACCTGCACTGTGGGGGCTCAGCCCCCCCAGTCTGCCTCTGACTCTGAATAGCAGAATTTTGTGCTTGCAGATTTCCTGGCTCTGGATAGCTGGGGGCAAACATTATTATGTAAAAAGAAAAGAAAAGAATGCTTCTTTGTCGTGAAAGAGCCTTTTTCGTATAGATTCATCTGCTGACCAGTCCCTCAATATTTGGCATGGAAAAAACCCTATTTCATTCCAGAAGATAGGAATGAAATAGGGGGTATAAAACTTTATGTCTCCCATTGTAACCTTAGGGAGAGCTGTTGCATCCAAAACCTTATTGGATCTGCACCTTCCTCCTTTGTTGATCAATAAAGTACAAGATCTGATTCTGCTCTACAGGATTGTACTGAGTGTTTTCTCAAATTGGGCTGGGGAAACACACCCACTCAGACAGGATTATTTTCTGTACACCACTTGGGGGACACTCCCCTTTAGACGTTTGTTGCAGAAGGAAGACTGGTAGTGGATAGCGTTGGTCAAATCTGTCTGGCAGGGAAGCTGGCCCACCATTACTGATCGTGCCACTGAGGCTTTCCAGCACACTGTTTGGAAATCCCCAACTCAGCGGGGAGGGAGAGGAGGAAGCAGAGCAGGCCGTCTCCGGGCTTTGTGCTTCAGCCTTGACCCAGCATGACCCAGCCAGGGATGGCGCTTTGCGTTCTGTCCTTGCAGAAATAATGGCTAGTTTCACGATGGCCGGAGATTACGGAGTCAGTGTGCTATGTTGTGTTTCTCAAGCAAGCAAGCAAGCAAACAAACAAGACTTCTCGGCTCTGCTCTTCTTCACAAACAGTCTTCAGATGGAGCTGTTGGAAGAGGTCCTGTTGGGAATCCGCAGATTAAGTGTTCCTTGTTGTTTTGCACGTGTCCCGGCTGCATTTGCGAGCCGCCTCCGGTGCCCTTGCAACCTGACGCTTGCGTGTTGTACATGATGCCCACTGTCTGAAAACAACATGGGTTTTTTTTGGGGGGGGGGTTGGCCTAGGACAAGACAAGGCCTAGCATGTAAGGAAAGAGGTTTAAGCGGAGCTGTCCCTGCTTCATCACGGGCTGATAAAAATGTCTTTAAAGTTTCTCTTAAGGTTTCTAAACGATGCGGACTCTCCCCATTTGACTGCTGAGGAACCTCTGTGCATTGCAGAGGGCTTCTGGGTAGGGTCGCCAGCTCTGGGCTGGGAAATACCTGGGGAGTTTGGGGGTCGGAGCCTGAGGAAGGCGGGGTTTGGGGAAGGGAGGGACTTCAACTTCCAAAGTGGCCATTTTCTCCAGGTGAACTGATCTCTATCTCCAGGAGATCTCCAGCCATCACCTGGAGGTTGGCAACTCTACTTCTTGAGACTGTTTGTGAGCACGGTAGCACCACGTGAAGGTTCTGGGCAAGGCTCCTTGGGCCTCACCCGCTGCCACGAGAGGCTGTCAGGGAGGCTTGTTTGGCACTACTCGTTTTCTTACTGGAGAAACCCTTATGACAGGGGTGGCCAAACTTGCTTAATGTAAGAGCCACACAGAAGAAACATCAGATGTCTGAGAGCCGCAAGACATGACCAAATATTACACACATGTTTTAATTGGAAAATATGCAGATTTGTTTTTTTAATAATATTAACATTAAATAAGACTGCCAGAAATAAAAATAGAAGGGGTAAAAATACATATCGACAGGGGTCATTTCCTGCAGGAGCGCACAGGAGCGGAGCTCTGGCAGTAAAGAGCCCAGGGTGCGGGCACATGCAACAAGTCCCACCCCCTGCTCCCAGCAGCCCTCAGTCAGAACAAGAAGCAGCCAGGTAAGCTGCAGAGCTCCC